AGAGCTAGTAACGTTAGCAGCACCGCTAACGGCTAACCAACAGGAGGTTCACTTCAGTTACATTATGATGCCTTCAGGCTCTGCTCAGTGAACATGAGTACTGGCTGAAGGTACATTATAACGTTATCATGATGTGTTCACATGTCATCTGTAAAATGTAGTTTTGGTGATAAACTAAAATAAATCCAGTAGTTTGAAGGAGATGTTTATGAATATAAAATAGATATTAGAGATGAATTATGAGCTGTTTAACTTCCTAACACGAGCTATAAGAACATTATTATCACATTATTATCATTACAAATCAATAAAAATAGAATCTTTTATTTGAATTGTGTGTTTTTATCAAGAACAAAAACCCAATAAATTACTATAATAAAGTAAAAGTATAACATTTAGTATTTTTGATGGTTTCAAATAATAATATCCTGGATCCTCATAGACCAGCTGCTATAATCAAACGGAGGGATCTGTATCTGTTCATATGGATCATCAATTATCAATAATTAATAGAACGTGATCTTAAAGCAGTATTTGTTCTTCTTCTTCTGATCTGTTGTGTCTATGACCCCGTTCTTCACCAGTTCCTCTGTCTGTTATCTCTGATCTCTGTGTGTTTGTGTCCCTCAGAAAGACCAACCAGCTGCAGTACATGCAGAACGTGGTGGTGAAGACACTGTGGAAGCATCAGTTCGCGTGGCCCTTCTACCAGCCGGTGGACGCCATCAAACTCTGCCTGGCGGTGAGTTCCTCTTCACTTCATGCCCAGTTCAATCTCACCGGATCGTCTCCATCTGTAAGCTTCACATGGAGCAGAGTTGTTTTACAAAAGCATTGAATTATATTCTCAATAATAAGGCCTTAAAAGTATTAAAACCGTTAACGAAGGGATTACATATATAGCGTCATGGATAAATGTTTTGTTTGTGACATTAACGTTAAATGTTACACCTTTATGTCGGTGGATTACTTGGAATGGGTTTGTAGAATTATTACACAATAAGGACTTAATAACTACACGATAAGGACTTAATAACTACACAATAACTTTAACAACTACACAATAACTACACAATAACCACTTAATAACTACACAATAACCACTTAATAACTACACAATAACCACTTAATAACTACTCTGCTACCAGTGGTAGAAAGTACATGTACTCAAGTACTGTACTTAAGTACAATTTAAAGGCAGTATCTCCGTGTTCTTCATACCTCCACTACACCTGAGGGGTAAATATTGTACTATTTATCTGACAGCTTTATTTACTTTACATCTTAAGATTGACGGTACAACATTTAATCAATAAATAAATGATATAATTATATTAATTGATGATAATTCACAGGCTACCCAGCATTATGTAAAGTA